AAGGGGAAATGACAGAAATCTCAAAATGTTAATTTTATCATGGTAATTATTGCGAGTTGAGTCAAAGAGGGTAAGATATGAGGAAACTCCTAATGGCTAACCATTAACTAATATTTTGGCATGTAATCTAAATCTCTGTTTTTTATAGTATATACATAATAGAGTCTAGCGTATGACTGGCGTATAATTAGGTTTGCGTTCACACTTATTAAATGAATTTGGATGTATTTTGAAAAAATCATAATTGTTGAATTATATTTTTTATTAAATTATATTGTGGTATGAGTTTAGAGAATTCGATAGTGTTAATATATATTTCAAATTAATTTTGATGGACTCAATAGCCTCGATAGCTTTACGCGATAAGGTTAGGGTATATATGTATATATGCAATAGAAGGCTAGTAATATAATTAATATGACTTCTATTCTTTCCATAATTTACTCCTTTTCTTTAGGTGAGGTGACATTAAAGTTATATGGAAGATGGAAAAAAATAGAGATTATGTTTTAATTTAGAAATTACACACGTTGGTAATTAATTAATTATGGCAACAAATAATGTACCATTATATCACCACCCACCTTAAGCCCTTTTTATTCCTTCTATTTTCCAATCCGTAAATTCATGCATGTATTTGCATGGTTATCTTCTAGAAACCAAATCAAAGAATATGTTCAACTTGATTTATTATTATTTTCTTTTTTAACCTCTAATTCCCTGATTATGAGTCAAAAGTATATTTGTTTGTTGATTGCTCGTATTAGTTGTATTTAAGAATGTGATGCTGCATATAAAAAACGGATGTGAGGAGTTGAAATTTTCTTTATTAAGAGTATGATCTTGAATTTGAATTTAGAATCACTTGAGAAAATTTAAGTTTTATTATTACCGGAAGATAATCACTCTCTTGAAATTAATCACCAACTGATTGGCTTCAGAGTATAGAGTAGTGTTGTAACTTCAACTTCAAACTTCGAAGAATTAGAAATATAGCTTTTATAACTGGGGAAAAACTCCTGGAATTACATGCAGTTAATTTTCATGATTTTATGGTAGTTAAAATTTGTACAGAGAATCTTAATTGTACAACAAATAATGTAATCTCAAATAATTGGGGGCAAGGGACTTAAGAAATGTTTTGGAACCTCACTTACATTTTTTTTTTTTTTGAGTTGTTTGAATGAATAACAATTTGATCAATTGTCTCGTTTTACAAAATAATTTACTTAAAACGAGTCAATTTAAATTACATGTCCTCATCCTATACAATTATAATTGTCTTAAAACGAGTGAATTCAAAATTTCTCAGACCAAATTTCCCCTTCAAATTTTATGTTATTAAATGGATCAATTTGGCCCAATTGTCTCAAAACGAGATAATTGAGTCAAATTGATGCAAATTTTTCTAACACAATTCCATGAAGCAAACATTATTTTTGCACAAATAAAACCAATTTGATGAACCAAGCCCACTCTGTTAGATAAATAATTAATTTGCTTAATAGAGAATCAGAGACAAGTCTTCTCTTGATATATAAAAGCATATCACCTTCAGTTTAAGTAAAGATATTTCTTTTGATCCACTAACAATGTCCTTTTCATGATTATCATTGTGTAACTAATGCCAATTAAACACCTATATATTTTAAGTGATCTCAAGGTTAATTATTCTGAACTTCAAAAGGGTATCATTAATATCCTACATTGACAATGCTTGTTCGATGGTTTTATCTAACTCGGTATCAGAAGTAACCCCCCATATTTGCCTATCTATCTGTAGTTGTAAATCAATTCAAAAAGAGAGTTTAAAATTGTTTCTCTTTAGCAATTATAATGCGTATATATGGAATCATTATGATCTATTAAATCAACATAACGTTATAAAAAGTCTTAAGATAGGCCATCTCACATTCAAAATAATTTGAAAGGGAATCAGTGTTATTGCTTATACTAATGGAGAACAGAGTTTGAATGGTTTCACAAGACGTATAAGTTATAACAAGTTAAGATCATCCTGGTTCAATTATAAGTCAGTGTGTGTATATATGTGCGGGTTGTTTAACGTAAATCTGGTAGCGCATAGTAAGAAAATTATATTTAGATTTTGAATTAATCCGAGTTTAGGGCATGACATTTAGTCAGTTATGGCTATTGTTTGCCTCCGGGCACCGTTTTTGTTCCTACCTCAAATCCAGCTTTGAACCATTTCCTGTTGTATGACTGTCAAGGGCTCTTCGAACCTCGTCTGGTGTTTAATGAAAGCTGGGATTTTGAAAATTATGACCTAAAGTTTACTGATTAAGAGTTAAGATATAGTGTCGATAAAACCAAATATTGGTGTTATTTACTTTCTTAGATCTTCGTGTTTTCATGTTCATTTGTGCAGTAAAGAGTGTTCAAACCCGCATTATAGCCTATTATTGCTTCCTAAAATATGCATAGTTTTTACTAGGTGAAGATGTGTGCGTTTAAGGCATATGATCATAAATATCAAGGATCAACTGTAAGCAAATTGGGGCAACAGAGATCATGCGCAAAAAGAAGCAGATCACGACCATGAACAGCCAGCCGTGAACTCGAGATCACGTAACACGCAAAAGGTCACGACCGGGATCCTTGGTCCCTCGATCGTGAACTTCGGGAGGCTAGAACATAGAAGAATAAAAGGAATCGCGGCCTCACTCACAGGACTTCGACCCCGAGACAGCGAGAAAGATCATGGTCGGAATCTCCGGTTCGCGAACGCCATTCGTGAACAGGGAAAACCGACGCCGCATTGATATCACGAGACAGTCTTGGAGTTCACGGCCGTGAACTTTCCTGCAAGGGTCGTGAACTTCTCCAGATTTTCAATCTCTATAAATAGTTGGAGAGCTAGATTTTCTATATAGATTTTAGAGAAAGAGAGAGGGTAGAGTGAGAAGTTAGGATTTCTCCCTTAAAGAAGAAATAGGCGTTTGAAGAAGATGAGAGATTGGAGAAAAAGATTCCAACAACAATGAGACTCCTCTTCATGATTTTCCTTTACTCATTTTGTGTTCTTCTTCCCCTTCGTGGGGTATTAATTTAAGTTACTTGGGGCTAAATGGCTAATCCCCTAAATACTAAACTAGTATATTGCTTATGTAATGAATGATATATATTAATCTATGGTGCATTTGAGTTCAATTAGCATTTCTAATGCTTTATTACATTATTTATGTGTATACATGTGAATGTTGTTTGCATGTTGTATGTCTTCTGATGATGATTTTGGGGTTTGACCTAGGTTGAGGTGATCATTCTCATAGCTTGAGTGGAGGCTTACCTAATTGATTCTTCTTGGGTGTCTACATGATCATTGTTTCACTTGAGTTGTGTGCCTAAGGGTTAAAATCATTTAAAGAGGGTAAGAGTTATCGCTACATTAGCCAAGGAAAACCGATTACATGATCATTGAGCCGGTATATGCATGGTTAGGAGGGGAGTTGGAAGACATTAACATTATACGAATGGCCATATTAGCGACCCTTACGCCTAAATTTCCATAGAAATGTATGCTAATCGTTGCATATCATTACTCGTATGTTAGGGTGAGGAAGACGAACCGTGAAAACCATCTTTCATTTTGTGAATCTCATTTAGTTTAATATGTTTAATTTAGCTACAACAAAAACCATAACAAAGATTGACTAGATAACGATAAAGCTAGAGTAAGCTAGGAAATTAGGACCCGTGGAATACGATTACTTCGATTACCAACTATACTTCTACAGCAATTAGGTTATACTTACCCTAATTCGGGTGGTAAGATAGAAGTGTTTGAGTTTATAACTCCTGTTTTTAAGAGCGTCTGCGAACGCGCGACAAGTTTTTGACGTTGTTAACGGGAAACAATATCAGTAACTAGTTGAATTGATTGAAGTTGTTAATTTACTCATTTACTTTTTCGCATTATAGTTTTGTTTTAGAGTTTATAGTCACTTATTTTGTTTGCTACAATATTGTGTTCTTCAGGAGTTTGCAAGTTTCTTATGACAAGAGCCCCTCGTTATAGTATAGGAGAGGACTATACAACTTTAATGAACAATGGCAGAACAAGAAGTTTGGAATAGAGAAGGCCCACCTAATCGAAACTATGGGTTACTACTCTTGTCCTTTTATTAGACAGGTCACAAGATCGGCCCACCCACTGCAGGTCCATCAATGTTTAGAATTATGACTTCTTAAAACGAGGCCCATGTTGGCATGTTCTAAAAGGATTGACGACGTTACATTTAACGGCGAGGAGCGTCTGACTTACACTTACAGCCTACAGTCATTGCCCCCGTAGCCGTAAGCTTACTGACTAAGCGAAGACACCATCCAATCTCCACGTTTTCACACGTGTCAATATTTAACCGTGCCACGCAGTAAACTTAGCGGGGGAAGCCTGAAAAAAAGGACAAATAGACGCGAAGCGGCAGCGCTTCGGCTCCGTTCTCCTCCCGTCGATCCCAAAACGGGCTAAAACTTCGAAGAGAAATCTATAAAAACACTGCCGGTTTTCATGGATCTCCTCACTTCCCCACTCTTCACTCTCGCGCTTCTCTTACTCTTCTCTGCCTCTCCTGCGATCGCCAGTCTCTGCCAAATCTCCGATCAACACCACCACCGCCCCGATCAAATGGCCGCCGCCACCCCTACCCTCGGAGGCGTTCGCGATTCCCCCGCCGGCTCCGCCAACAGCGCTGAAATCGAGGGTCTTGCTCGGTTCGCCGTCGACGAGCACAACAAGAAGCAGGTGAGCCGCAGATTGATCTACCGCTTTCCGTTTTGTTTTTGATTTCCATCTGTCGCGCTTCTCTGTTTTGGTGAATGAAATTGTTCCTTTCTTTCCCCCCCCCCCCCCCCCCCCCCCCCTTTTGATGGTGAGAAATCAGAATGCGGTGGTGGAGTTTCTGAGGGTTGTGGAAGCCAAAGAGCAAGTCGTCGCCGGGACGCTTCATCATCTGGTGATAGAGGCGGTTGATGCTGGAAAGAAGAAGCTCTATGAAGCCAAAGTGTGGGTGAAGCCATGGATGAACTTCCAGGAACTGCAGGAGTTCAAGCACGCTGGTGATTCCCCGCAGCTCACCCCTTCTGATCTTGGCGCCAAGAAAGGTTTGCTTTCTCCTTCTCCCTTCTCTCCCCTCAAATCCCATTTCTTAGCATTTTTTCTAATTACCAAAAGCTTCCAACCCTTATCGGAGCAGTTGATACCAGTGAGTTTGGTGAAGTAAACTACATTGATTCATCGTTTTTCCTTGATGAACTATGAAATCATATATAGGGTAGACGGAAAGATTGAAAATTTGAGGCTTGTGCCCTGATTTCATTTGAGTTAATACTATTGGGTGCGTATTTCAGGATGCCATGGATCTGGGTTGAGGGATGTGGCACCTCATGACCCTGCTGTTCGAGATGCAGCTGATCATGCTCTGAAGACAATTCAACAGCGCTCCAACTCATTGTTTCCTTACGAACTTCAAGAAGTTGTTGATGCCAAAGCTGAGGTTTGTTGCGACCTTGTATCACTTCCCATCTGTCCTTTCATCTCGCAACTCCATCCTTATATTAGTGCTGGTTTCGCAATGCTGCAGGTGGTGGACGATGCTGCGAAATTTCATATGGTGCTCAAGGTGAAGAGAGGGACTACCGAAGAGAAGTTGAAGGTCGAAGTGCACAAGACTACTGAAGGCACTTTCCATCTCTATCATATGGAGCCAACTCACTGATTTGTGTACATATATGTGCTTGTTTCTTTAGAGTGTGAGCTTGTAGAAACCTTCGAACAGCTTTATGGTTTGCTATTGCTTATGTTTTAAGAGTGATCCTGTGGCAACCAGGAACTTTATGGTTTGCTTGTGAACCTGTAATGGATGATATGCTATATAGACTTCCTGCCGTATTGTGTAGATCATTCTCTTCTTTTCAGCATTCGAAGATCATTTCAGATCAAACTAGGATAGATTGAAGCTATTTCGTTTAGATTCTTGTGCTCACGGATTCCAAACCAAGCCAAACTGAAATCTAGCTCCAACAGTTTCTGCTCTACATGAACCACCAGTCTTTCACTCGTGAAATCCCGACTTATGCAATACTCTCATTAGAAGAGATTCACTACTACCAACCAAGGAAATGAGATTCACTAAACAACATTAACAACAGAGACGAGCATAATAACAACATTCTTGGACGGCACATTGACAGAGGAAGGCCATCATGGATGCGGGCTGCTAGCTGCTCCTAACATTAGATTCTTACATTACACAAACTGCTGTCTTCTTCTCAAATAGTAGACAGATCCCTACTAGGACATCATTGGGTTTTCTGTTAGCAGATGGGTTCTACGAACTACGCGAGACCAATAACTATTACTGATAAGAGACATCATAAATCATCCTTCTTCGTCATAGTCTTCTTCCTCTTCGTCCATCCTCGTGCTCATCTGGGCCAGCTGTAAGGGATCAATAGCCATCTTGTCGACTTCTGAAAGCGACCAACCTGGATATTCTTCGTGGGTGGTGGTTTCTGGTGCCGTGGACGAACCTTGGCCAGCAGGCACAGGACCTATTGCTGAAGAAGCTGGCAACGCGGCTGCTGCTGCAGCTTTCGTGTCTTCGTTGTTGTCTTTGACCTCAGCATTAAGATCGAAGTTTCGTTCTGGTTGATTGGCTGTACCATCTGTAACTGCTTCCATAGGCTCTTTCACCAACATCTCCTTTGAATCCATTCCGTCATCTATCATCGTTCCAGGAACTGGGATGTTGCCGCGTGGAGTAGTACAAGCAGCTTCAGAGTCGGCCTCACGATGAGCCAATTCTCTATCCGCGTTTCGAGCACCTCGACCACGACCTCTCCCTCGACCACGACCTCTCCCTCGACCAGTAACGACTGTGTGGCTTGTATCATGCTACAATGGAAGCAAACAAACACCCGCATATTAAGTTCAAAAACACTTCTGCATGCAAGGAAAGCTGAGTAATAATGGCAGACTCATACGACTTTGGGATGATAAAACTAGACAGTGTGATTACTATATATGAAAATAAGGGTAAAAATTAAGAGAACCAACATTGTTTAAAATTCAAATCACCAATACAAAAGTGGACAATCTTACCATCCTGCTTCTCTTCATTTCTTCATCGCTCTCATTGCCTTCATCCATAATGGGCTTCCTGTTAAAACATATGTGGTCAACCAATTGAAAATAAGTTGCTCTGAATAACCCATCCGAGAAGATAACATAAACCAGGTTGAAAAAAAATTCTCAGCTACTGACCTCTTATGAAGGACTCTGTGATCCGCAGGTGCATCAGGGTGGCCATGACCATGGCCATAATCAGGAACCTTGCTAACAATTTCTCGCAGAAAATCAAACACATTATAGCTTTGGACACAATGTTTTCTGCATAAAAGACAGATACAACAGACGTTTAGTGTATAATTGAGGTAATCGAATCTTTGAGCTAAACAAAAGCAAGACAAGAACTATCGAGGGGGATAGAAACCAAAATTTTAATCTTCTAACCATCAAGAGCTTCACAAAGATGGAGAATTTGACAAAAGAAAAAGAAGGGAAAAAGTAGCCCCGTAGTTAAATGAGATTTTTCTACGTCATCTAACTAGGCAACACTACCAGTGGACTATCAGAAGAAGCCAGATGGTCAGATGATATATAACTGGAGGGTCTTGAATCTAAAAAAGATATATAACTGGATGGTCAATTATTAGATTGCTATGAGCCTATGACATGCTATCATCAATCCAGTCATTTGACCAGATAAACATTAACTCCTTCTGGCAAAACAGCAAAGGAGTTACTTACAGGTGGAGTGAACTCATGGTCTTTGCTCCTCTATGAAGGGTAACTTCATAAGTACGATCACAAAGGTCTTGCAAAAACAATTCCAATGCTTTAGCTGCACAAACATTCATAGAACATGAGTACTAACAATGCAGAATTAAATTCTGAAGCCACCAAAACAAATGTCTCACTACTTACACACTAAGACAGGCACTGCCAGGGCTATCTTGCCAACATCCTCATCAGCTTGCATGATTTTTTTTATGCGAGCCTGTCAAAATAAATAGCTGCCCCTTAAATCCCAATACAAAAGAAAACGCGCGCGCGCGCGCACACACACACACACAATTGATGGTGAATAGTATTTCCACGCACTAAATCTACTAAGTAAGCATCAATCTCTCAGGACACTAGTTAAAGCCACATGAGAACATCCAAATTTTAGTAACTGTAACATCTTCAAGAAAGTCAACTGCAGCAGTGTTAATTTAAAAGCATACAACAACAGTGTCAAGAAAGAACAATTGAAGTTGTCATGATAGAGCCTCAGAAAACTGAGCCCAGAAATCACTGCAAATAGATGTTGATTCTGTAAGCATAACAAGGCCAAGTTCAACCTACCAATGAGCATTAAAACATACAAGCTACGTGTAATTATACAATACTATACAAAATGAGCTTAACTTTCGATCAGAGACGGTCTTCTGTCACCTTAGGTAGAACTCAAATTCAAAAAATTAGCGATGCGAACTTTGCTATAAAAGCTAGTGACCAATGGTAAATTAGAAGTCCTAAATTCACCACCGAAACTCAGTTCACTAGTTTTGAATGGAATAGCACATCAAAGAATTACTTCACTAACAAAGCCCTAAACCATCCCATCTATACCCATTCTGAACAAGTAGTTAAAGTTCATAACCAAAGAACGCCAATGAATGAACAACAAGACAGCCTAAGAAACTCAGGAAAAGAAACACAGATACATAGAGAGAGAACAGTCAACCCCTAATAGCAAACTCTGTAGCAAAACGAGAATTATCAACTAATCAGAACTTCACTTCCCAGGAATTGGACTGTGAGCAGAACATCAGCGTTGCAAGAGTAAAAAGCCAGGTAAGATTCTATTAATCATGCAAGGCGGCCAAACTAAGCAGAAATTAGTCGCAAATCGTCTCACTCCTCATTTTTTTCAAGTCTGTACCTTTTCCTCACTTCCTCCCAAATCACAGCAACCCAGTAGCTGAAAACCAATTCCAAGCCATGAAATGAGGAAGAAACAGAAAACCCAGAAATGGGCAAGCCAAACATCGGAACACCAACTAATCGATCAAAAAGTCAAAACTACATCTTTTCCACGGCAAACCAAACAGACACAGAAATTCCAGATCGAAGAATCGAAACCCACTCGGAAGAAGGGCAGAGACTTACAGCCGGGAAGCGGGTATCGAGCTTCTTCCTCATGCTGCCAGATTAGAAGCATAAAATCCAACGGAGAAACCCCCAAATACACAGCCCAGAAATGAGAATTCCCCCCTTCGCAGCAGATTGTTCGAAAGAGAAATCGACAATCAATTGATGATTCCTCTAACCATTTCTCGATCAAACAAGCTGTGTATCTAACCAGAATTTCATCTAAGCTGCAGAAAACTTTCCAGAATTCAGATCTGCAGAAAAGAAAGGCACTAAAATACAGAACTTCGTTGCCGTGGGATATCCGTCCGTACGTGTTTTGACAAAAGAAAAAGGAAAAAATTATATGAAAAAATGATGATATCGTGACGACGGTTTGCAGGCATACGTGTGACAGTCCAATCATGAAATAACAGGAATTAACATTGTTGGGCTGCACGATGACGTGGCGGCCTATCTATGGACATTGGACAACCTTTGGCTCGTATTTAATTGAATAAAACAAATGTTGGCTCTATCCAACTTTTTTTTTGGGGTGCAAACTATCCAACTTTTTCGATCATACCCTTAATTAAGAAACTTATCTTATATGCCCTAAATTATTCTTGGTTCACTTTCTAATTTCTATCCTTGTTTCTTTTTAGTTTGGTATTTGTGATTGTTAAAATTGATGTATTGTATGAATGCATGCATTATAAATTGATGTATTGGTTAAATGCTTGCATTTTAAGATTACAACGTTTGATAGTTGTGATTGTATTTTTAGGAATGTAGTAGGAAAATCACTTTTTGAATGAAAAGTCACATTTATCCTTCATTTTAGATATAAAAGTCAATCACGTATAAAAGTTGATAAATGCATAAATAAAAGAGAAGAAAAAGGCATAAAAGAGAAGAAAAGTTGATTCATCATCTCAAAATGCAATCTCAACAATCTCACCAAATAGTTGAGATTCTAAATCATTCATTTTGAATGATTTCAAATGTCACATCAACAATTAAATACATGAATTGTGTTTTATTTTGTAAGAAAATGCATTCTCTACAATACATATATTCATTAAATACATCATTTAGATACGCATCTACCAAACGACCTCTTTATTTCCGAACTTTTCTAGCTCATTCAAATGGGCAATCATAACATTAAACGCACCTACCATATCATGAAGTCGACAAAAAGACAATCATTCTTAATACGGTTCAACGCATCTTATCCTAAAACATCCTTTAATCCATAAGATAGAGTGTACTGTAATTCAAATCATTATTCACTGACTCTGATACATCTACTAAGTAATAACAAACTAAGATAATCTTGTTAACGCGAGGGAAAAAGTGAAAGAGCGAAAGGAGAGTTGAGGAAAACGAATTAGGTTTTGATTTGACTAGCCACTCTATTGCATTTCTACTATTTATTTTCTTAAGTTGCCCTCACTAAGTCACTATCGTTGATATGTTACAATTTTATAAGCGAAGTAATGCTCTTTGTGGGCGGGGTATGGGGCGGAGGAGGCGAATACCATACCCACCTCAAACCCATAAAACATTTTGCGGGTTTTACCCATACCCGTCCCATACCCAGTCAATGCGGGGATTTCCCGCACTGACTGGATCGGGAGCGGTTGGGTACTGACTCGTTCTAACTACAACATCCCGATCGATGGCCAAGTATAATCGCCGCCCGAGTGAAGCGTAGGGCAAGCAAGTAATAAGAATTTATCATACCACGGGGATCTAGGCTTATCCTACTTCAGGTTTAAGGTTTGTTATCTAGCCAACCTAGGATAATGATTAATACAACTAAACTAACTAACCTAGACTAACCACTAACCCTAGCTATTTACAAGGTAGGGAGCTCCATTGGTTTGAATCCTCCTAGCTCCGTCATATGATCGATGTTGAGTACCATCCTAGCTCGATCGACCCAGTATCCTACCGTTAGGAGATGAACTCCCTCAGGACGGACCCAAAACGTTGAAGTGATGGATGGGTAGGAGCTCTATTCAACCTAGGGCACCCTTATATCGTAGGAGATCGATCCAATCGACTCCCTCGGGGATTAACCGGACGATATGGGGTGAGGAGTTGTTTCCCTCCTAGGTCAAAAGCTCGATTGACTCAATTACTCTACCGTTAGGAGATGGACTCCCTCGGGAATGACCCGGAACGGCGAATTGATGAATGCGGTAGGTTCTATTCAACCTAGGGAAATCCTATATCGTACGAGATTGATGGAATCGACTCACTCGGAGATTACCCGGACGATATAGGGTGAGTAGTGGCCCGAAGACGCCAATAATGGGCTCTAAGGGGATTTTATCCCTCCTAGGTCAAAATTAAGCTCAATACGTGAAAATGGAAACCCAACTCATGTCATTCAAGAAAACATCCATCAATTAAGTAAAATCATCAATCAAACATGGAATGTGTCACATACATCAACATTAAACCCAAATCTAGACCTAGGGTTCTTAAACCAAGAGAAGAGGACGAGTTTCTAGAGAGAGAAGAGAGAATTACAAATTGGAGCTTCTTCTTTTTCTTCTAGGCTTGAATCCTTGTCTTAAAGATCAACCCAAGCCTCCAATTAAACTCCAAGATCACTCAAGCACTCTCTCTCTTTCTAAAACTCCCCTTTGGCGTTTTGGTTTGAAACCCTAGAGAGAATCGAATCCCTCTCCAAAAACCAGCACCCCTTTCCCTCTCCCCGCTGCTGTCTTTAAATTTGCACGACAAGGCCTCGTTCGCGACCGGGTGCTTCAGTTCACGTCCGCGTGCTTCAGTTCACGGTCTTAGACAGTGAACTGACGACTTCACGGTCTAGGCTTTCAGTTCACGGTCTTAGAGACCGTGAACTGACTTGATGATAGTAACTTCGAAAACCGTTCTGGAAATTGGTCACTTCACGGTATGGGCTTTCAGTTCACGATCTTAGATACGTGAACTGAAGCTCCAGCCCATGAACAGGGCTCAGCCTCCACTTTTGGGCTCTTTTTGACCTCCGAATGACCCGAAACTCATCCCAGACCTTCCTATACGTGCTAGAACCTGAAATGTACCAAAACAAGCACAACCTAGCGTAAAATAGGTCGAGGGACGGTGATCAACTAAGCATAACGGCGAAGAAATAAGGGGTAAAATGTGTACATTTAGACCAGAATCAGGTACCCACAGTCATGGGTTTGATTGTCATCCCTAACAATAATCAAGTGGCGATTTTATTACCAAAAATTTATTTTTAAGAAATCGAGTGGGAATTGGCCTCCAAACATATTATTTATATGAATGAAATCTGGTTCAGGTAGAATTCTCAGCACATCGGATTGTTGAGTTTGTGTCTGTGTCAACTTTAGATCTTCGGAATATTCTTCATTGGTATTTGTCACATTCATTTTTTAATTGTATGTTTTGTGGGTAATGCATAGTTGATCATTCAGATGGTCAATACGAAGGATTCACCGCACGCATTGGGGGAGCTATTATGAAAGAGGTTTAGGTTTTAACTTCGTTGTAGTTGTGTGCCTCCTAGGTTTAACACGGTTGATCATATTTTGACAAGCAAATCCTCTTATCTTTGGATCGACTACTAGTCGACCAATGTCCTTTTCGCCTTTCCATTTTTTATTTGATGGGCAAAATTCATGCATTTATTCTCATATATGGTTATTTCCTTTGGGGATACATATGAAACAACTATTTTTCTTTCAGAACCTAAATAATTATGCACGACTATATTAGTCGTCAATAGGTACTTATGAATAGGGATGCCAATTTTACCAAAATTCATGGGTATTTTACTATCCAAATCAATTGAGATGAATTTGAAATCCAAATACATGTTAAATTGGTAGAGTTTGATGGGTTTATACCCATACCCATTTATTTGGGTTGACTTGGGTTTTTAAAACATGAATTTGGATTTGTACCCATATCAATATGCAAATTACAATTAAATAACTAAACTTAATAGATCTTTAGATTGTGCCTAAAATTAATCTTTTTGCATACAAGTACTAAAACTATCAAGGAAAATTACACTTTAGAACCTAAATTTTTTGTGTTATGTTTTGATACCTAATTACACTTTAGAACCTAAATTTTTTGTTTTATGTTTTGATACCTAAACTTTTTTTAGTTTTACAAATAGTTTCAATTTTTGTATGTAGTTAAAATAACCTTAAGTAAATGACATCCATACCCAACCAATGACCATTTCGAGTATGGAAGCAATACCCATACTCTACCCAAACCCATCTACAAAATCTCAAACTCATATATGCTTCACCTATATCCTACACATAATCAATGATTTTAATTAGATTTGGATAAATTACCCATGGGTGTATAATTGCCATCCCTGCTTATGACAAATTTGATAATATGTGACCTAATTTTGTGTGCATTCATGACAAACATGTTATAAGACGAATGATAATCCTTAAATTCCCTCTAGTTGAGTGATATGCGAAGTACAATTGATTTTGGTATGTAAGAAAATCGAATTTAGGTTGTGGCTCAACTCATAGAGATATTGATTCCCTTCCACACCTAGATATTGTCCAATCGATTATTGGGGGGAAGTGAACTCCTATGTCTCCACTCTAAGATCATTGAACAAATTTTCAGAGTCTCCACTATCTGGATTAAGTGGGAAATCTTCTCAGCCATTGAAGAGAATAGATCATAATGACATGCACAATTCGAAGATTTTCCTTCACTTACCGAATCATCTTCCCATTCATGCCCATTTTTCACTCATGTCTTCCAATAACTTTTGCACATCTTCTGGTTTCTCGTTTCTCATTGAACCTTCTCCTGCCATAGCTATCTGTTTCCTACATTCGCTTCTCATGTCACTAGAGAAGATATTGACCTATTTTAGGTCTTGGAATCCATGATGTAAGCATTTGAGAAGTAATGAATTATGCTTCGGTTAAAGGTTTTCCACTTTGTTAGTGAAACTAAATATCTCATTCCGTAACCAAGCCATTTTGGAGGGAGGGTAATATCGGCTGAGAAACTTGCCGCAGAAGTATGCCAATGAAGTTATAGAATGACGGGGTTGACGAAGGAGCCACCTTCGTGTTCCTCCGAGTGAAAAAGGGAATAGCCGGAGGTGTATGGCTTCATGGGGCACCCCAATTATATGTTGATTCTATCAGTGAAGGCAAGAAAATGCTCAACATGTCTATGTGGAATTTCATCCTTCAACCCCAGAAATTGTATGTTGGATTTGATAATCAATACAACACTGCGATTAAACTTCAACCCTTGACATTGTACTTAAGAATGTAGA